AGGACGATACGGTAGCCGTGCGGTTCTAGTGGCACTGGACGGCTGCAACACGAGTACAAAACGTACCCGTGTTCAAATCGTGCAATGTGAAAGGTCTCGTACTCTTCAATAGTCGATCAAGAAAAATTGCCCGGGCGATTTTTTCCCGCACGAGCGAAATCGTGTAATGTGAAAATAGCGTATAGTTATCTAAATTTCGAAAATCTTTATATTAATTATGCAGTTTGAAATTATATTTTTATGGGAGTAGTTAAATAAACTATATATATTTTTTGTGAAAAGTTGTTTTTATAAAACATTTCATTATCACTATTGACAAAAGTCATAAAATAACTCCAGAAAATTTACTACATATTTTATATTATATTAGAAAATAAAACTCAAGTAATTTTGTAACTAGCTTAAGGTCTTGTTGAATTAATTTTTGAAGTAGCAATAGCTTTGAGTTAAAATTGACTGTATATACATTATGCCACAAATTTAAGAAATACATATAATGAAAGAAATAAGACTCATTTCTCTAAAACTGGTCTTGATAGAGTAGGAATTTCTTATTAGGTCCTTAACGTTGCCATCGCGGAAATAAATAAATCGCTACAATTCAAAGCAGACAAAGTATTCATAAATAGCCATTGAAAGGTTACCACGAGAGCATAATTTCATAAGAGAATATAAATTATATAACTTCACTGCATTGCTATAGCGTTAATTCAAGTTCATGTTTAAACATATTGTTACTTCGTACTTGAAAGCCAACCTCGACATCTCTCAGTTGATAAACCACAAGTGTTAACAAAACTTAACTTAACTTAACCAACAACATATTTATTTGTTTTTTGAATCATGATATTGATACAACTTAAACAAATTATATCGACCAAATTAGGTACCATAAAAACGGTTTTTGGGAGTTAATCTTAAAAGATAGACATAGACTGTCGCGGATTGTTTTTTAGATCATTAGAAGAGCTATTATTCTTTGATACATATTTTTTGTGTATCTTGAACCGGCGCACGCAACGGAAAGCTTCAAAGATGAAATAATTTCTCCCGTTTTTTACACATTTACCACTATATCTTTGCTCCTATTGGTCGTAGCGTGATGTTATATAGCCTAAAGCCTTTCTCGATAACTGGACTATCCAACACAAAAATAATTATTCAATTCGAACCAGTAGTTTCGGAGATTAGCGGTTTCAAACAAACAAACAAACAACCTCTTCAGCTTTATAATATTAGTAAGTATAGATATTTACATGTACAGCTACATAATCGGTTAAAATACATATATGTAGTTACCCTGTCCTATCTTATAGTCTAACAGGTTTTATCAAACAAACAATAAATAGATTAAACATAAAGCCAAAACGAGAATTATGATAATAATGTTATACTAAAAAGATTATTGCCTTGGGAAAAAATTACTATCTCCCTTAAGCATGTCTACGGCCGTATGATGAAAACTAAACACAAGCGTGGATGTTATTTCGAGCACAAATTATACGTACATCTCGTACACCTTACACCAAATCCAAGGCTTCAGAAACTCGGTTTTATTACAATTAACTGTAATAATTTATGTTGACATGAGTCTGCTGTAGTCTAATTATTTGTAATAAAATTAAGTAAGTGTAAGTGTAAGTGGTTCACACGGCCAATATTTCTCAGTTATTAACAATAAGATAGACTTTTCATAAATTGAGGAAAATAATGCCATATGGGCTTCAAAATATTTTATGTTTCATTATGAAAGAATACTTTATATCCTTTCATGCTGAATCATAAAATAGGAGAACGTAGAGTATTAATTAATAAGTATTATTGTTTGTTTTATTTTTATTAGATTAAGTAAATTAAGCTGAGCTAAAAAAGGATGAGAAATTATGGCGTGAGGTTTTGGAAATGGAAGATGGACAATCATTTTTATTGCTATTGACCCTCTCAATAAAATAATACAATACATGCCACGTTATTATTACGTTCAAGCAACGGCTCTGTTGACAAGGACACAAAAAGTACATTTTTTTTTAAATTACTCGCTTGAGTTATGGTAATACAATTAAATTTTAATAGTTATGTAATAATCACTCGTTAATTTATGCCTCCATCGATTTCATTCATCAAAAACATCCTGTTATAGTAAACTTACATTACTTTTTGTTACAATTATTTTTTTATTAAAATCGCTGTGTAGGGTAAGGTTTTGAATGTTCATTATAAGATCAATAGTCCACGACAAAATATATAATAACTTGAAATGTAAATACATTAAAATTAAAACGATTTCTTATGCGATATTACTATCAAAATATAAATATTTTCTCAAATTAACAAAAATCAAAGCTATTATTTTTTAAAATAATTTTCTTCTTTTTATAAAGTATCTTAATGTATCTGATGGCCATATCTAGATAATATTATTTGAAACCGCTTTAACATTTATTTGTAAAACTTCTTTGTCTCAACGCTGAGTGTTGCTTTCGATCGATATTTGGACAGATTTTCTAATTGATATTGTCGAAGTGATTATGATTGCATCAAACTACTTTTACCATTATCCATTCGAAACATTAAAGAATGTTCTTGAATGAGAACAAGTTTCTCACTAAATACAAACCATATCCCTAGACGGCACCTGACTAAACCTTAATGAAGTAGTAATACGATTTAGCCTTTAAATAACATCAGGTAAATTAAAAGCACCGTATAGATTGTTGAGACATTTCGAAATATATCTTTATATTATTTGAAAATTCAAAGTACATTCAAATTAAATCTATAACTAAGTAACGAGTTACGCTTATCCAGCTATTGAAGTGACCCTAATATGAGATTTAAACATTTCACAAAATATAAATTTAATTCATTATTGATTCAACTATTTAGTAAAGTATATCCTTATTAAATCTTTTCACTTCTCGGAGGAATCCTGTTACATCAAATAATTACATATCAGTTAATTTTATGACTTAAATAAGGTACAAATTATAAAGAAAAAAAAAATTATTACTCTTATAGTAACATCTAAAAATTTTACTTCTCATATAAGAAAATATTGATTCATAAGTTTTAAATGAGATGATGATATAATACTTAGATGTTCACTTTTGTGTTAATTCAGGTAATGAGTGCTTTTTACTATCTTCTATAAAGTCTATTGAACATGAAACTGTTAATCCACTGTTTGGTAATGATAGAACATCATTGTAGTAGAACTTTAGGGTAGTTTAAATTTTAAGTGAAATTTAAACATATTTGTCTCCTACCATTCTATGCAGTATTCATACAACTATAGACGAAGATTTACAACATTCCAAATATCTGGGATACAACTTTATTGTGTACAATCTAACTCGAAGAAACTAGGTGTTACTTGACAATCAAAGATTTCGGTCTGATATTTGATGCTCTCGATACATTGAATTGAAGAAACCTCTTCTACTTCTAATAGACTGAGTATATATATATCATATATTATTATACGGTCACTTTTATGCATTAAATTAATGATATCGAAGCAAGTATTAATTTAAATGAAAATAATATTTGCGGACTTCTACCTGTTATTTTAGTATTCTCCTCTGAATAATTATAGTATTTCCATTATTCAACAAATAATTTATTATAAGGCACATTAACTTTCAAAAAATTATCTTATTTATTAAAAAGCCTATCCAAAAAATTGTGATGGTATATTTTGACTCAATTAAATGAAATCATAATAAGTATCATTTTAATATGATACCTGTACGTATAAACGTATTTTATACATACTTCAATATTTAATGTTAATATATGAATGAAGGCGGTTGGATTCGTTCTATAACTTTCTTGTATATTATCAAGACATTACTGAAGCAGAATAAATCATTATGCTTTATGTTCTCAGTGAGCATTCTAGACATTAACAATATGAGAAGCTATTATTATATTAATAAGAGTAACTACGATCGAGAATTTAGTAAGATGAGCTCTGCTAGAGAAATTACTAGCAATTAATTTTTGAATGTCAAATTAAACCATCTGGCAACTTCCCACGTTTTATATACCTAATGACTTTATGGTGTCGATGGTAATGTGACTTTACGGTGCTTGTTTGACCTTATTTTCAAAGTCTTTTACAGTTAATGAAGCAAGATTCCTTGTTGTTATTTCTTTAAATGAATATGAAACACCGTATTATTTTATTTGTTGTTTATAAGTTTTATTGAATACTACACTCTTGATTCTGTCAGGTAACTCACCCATTTCGAATATTATTTGAAGAAAAAACACATGATTATCCTGAAGTGGTAATATAAGTCAGTAGTCGTTTTTTAATTACTTATTTTTTTTATTACTGTGTAACTCGTGATACAATGTGTATTGTAAGTATAAAGTGGACTACTACTTTAATTGAAAATTCAACATTATATTCAAGTTAGTTGTTCTATGTAAATGAAAAAAATACTCTTCAATAGCAACAGTACTTATAAATTTAGGACCGTATCAATTAAGGGTCCTGTTCCCCATTGTATATATTATCTATCGACGGCTATTTTTAAGAAAGCGATATAATTCTTTGACGATTTTTTTTGGTTATAATAATTATTTTTAACCTTTTTAATTTTTATTGTACATGTATGAAATTTTATTTAATTTCGTTGTCGTATAATATTGCTTTATAATGATTTATCAAGCAAAACCCTATGGGAATGCGCTCGTTACATAATCAGAATAATACAATTAAACAATAATGTTATGTATTATGCCAACTGGTACAATGAAAATCATCTAATATTCATTTAAATATAATAACTATATAACAATAATAACTATCTTTAGAAGGAATAGTAGATAGCTTTTTAAATGATCTCAACAAGGTAGATAGCCAGCAGATCAGTAACGTAAAAAAAGCATGGATCTACGATAATTACTTAACTTCACGTTTGAATTGGCCTTTCCTCGTCTATGATTTTAGTAAAACCCTTTTATCTAAATTAGATGCAGGCGTCATAAAGATGTTGAAGTTGTGGCTCGGGCTCGCGCTAACGGCTGATTCATCGGCTTTATTCAGGGATCGTAATAGTTTTGGGATGAATCTAAAAAGACCATCGGAGCTCTACAAACACCTAAGAGTTTCCAAGAGACATATCCTGGGAAAATCCCATGATGACGTCGTTACATCACTCCCAAAAGACAATGATGCCCCAGAGCTAGAGTCACGACTTCAATTCCATAAACAATTTATGATCGGAGCGCAAAATAACAGAGTAGGGTTAGGATCAAGTAGGAAAGTCCAAGATACGGATATATTGAAGTCTTTTATTCGGCAAGACGAGAACGATAAATACAAGATCCATGCAATGAGTTTAGAAATGCAGAACGAGTGGTTAGACATGGGAGATTTTTGCATTCCACTAGCACTAAAATGGCGCACCCTAATTCATGACTGGTCGCCAGCCTTGCTAAAATTTTATCTCAATGCGTTCCAGATGACTCTCCCAGATCAGAGTAATTTAGTAAGATGGGGTAAAGGTACCGAAAAAACTTGCTATATCTGCGGAAAGGCAGTTGGAACTGCCAAGCATTTGCTGGTGGGATGTAAGGTTCTCCTGGACAGCGGTCAATACTCGCGTCGTCACGATAGGGTTTTAGAGATCATACGTGAAGCGGTTAGTCTTTCGGTAGCCAGAGCGCAAAGGGAAATAACCACAAACGAGCGATCAATAGGTTTTGTGAGAGAGGGCACCAGGGCTATAAAATCAAGCGTCAAGCCTTACTCTATCCTTAAAGCGGCTTCGGATTGGACTATCATGATGGATACGTATGAGAAACAATACAAAATCCCCGAGGATATTTGTGCGTCGGCCTCCAGACCAGACATATTTCTATATTCGCGTATTTTAAAGCGCGTTGTGATGATAGAGCTTACGGTGCCTTGGGAAACCAACATCCCCAAAGACCATGCCATCAAGGTCAATAAGTATTACGAGCTCACTAACGAACTAACTCGAAATAGGTTCGTCGTTGATTTGTACGCGGTAGAGGTGGGAGCGAGAGGTATAACAGCTAAATCTCTCTATAACCTACTAAAAGACTTGGGCCTGTCCAGAACTAACATTAATTCATTCTTAGAACGTACGTCGAAGGCAGCCCTAGTAGGTTCTTTTCAAATTTGGTTAGGTAGGGAGAGGAACTTGGACAGTGGAGGTGAGCGTATAACGCGCGTTAGTTAAGGGGCCCCTTAAACCTACACCTGGGTCGCAAGTCCCAGGCACTGTTGAAGCTCCTCTCCCTGCAACGCGATGGACCCGGCACCCGCACGGTGAATCCATTGAATGCTAAGAGGTTTCGTCTCGTCTCTTATATAAGTTTTTTACGCATCAATCAGCAATTCCCATTCGTCTTTAGGTAAATTGGTTTCTAATTTTCTTGAGTAAAGAAAATCAAAAAGAATTTACTGATTCTTGGACAAATCCATATTATGAATAACAGGCATTGTGTACTTGAATGAATCCAAGATATTTAAGAATTGCAACTATCATGTTGTATAAATATGATCAAGATATGTAAAATAAATTGTAAAATTTTATATTCTACTCTTATTTCATTTTTGTTTGCATACATAAAGTAGCCCTCAAAAACTAATTTATTGGCACACCCTTTAGAATTGAGTCATGGTTGCTTCAACTAGGGAAATTTATGCACATAGAAGACGACATGATAAAAAGACAGTGTTCGTTGACTAACGAACCGCAATAAATCTTTATGATGAATTCCTTAAAAAATGCATAATTTTCTTACGTCCTTTGCTTTATTGAGAAGTAGTAAAATGAGGATTTAAGTTTTTTAAAAATAATAAAAAGGGGATTCTTTTCAAAGATGTCTTCAATGTTATACAGCTTGAAGCGTCTATTTGGGTTTGCAATGTGAAGAAGAAATAGGAATTACGATGTGTAATGAAACTGTTAATATAAGCATTCGATTTAATTGCTTATATTTCATGACTAACGAAAATTTTTTCATGCTTTACAAATTCGAAGGGAGATAATAATATGTTGTAGCAAATTGAACTTTTAATAATTTCATAGTCGAGTTAGGTAAAATCAGTGAGCATGAATGAATCTATTAAACTTTCATGTTCACAACACAATAGTTTTAATATATTCTACAATATTTTTCGTAATATTGTACTGTTATCTAATTAAGACTAAACCCAGGAATTCCAAATAATTTCCATGCATAAACATATATAAGGGTAATCCACTTTTAATTTAAGTAATGACTTTGAATTTCTTTCCTGAATTTTAATATTCAACATTTTACCGGACAAGGAATGTGTCACAAAACTTTTATCACGTTTTCCCGTAATCACGGTCATTGCAAAGTAATTGAAAGGTCATGTAAATTAATAAAATAAATACGGATTAAATATGAAAAACAAATTAATATTCATTGTATTGAGTCAGTCAGAACACTATAATTGTTAGTCAAACATTCTATGCATAGATATTTGAGATAAAAATACAAGGACAGTATAAGGCGACTGTTACCTAAAATTTATTGAATAACTATATTTTTGAAACAAGAAATATATATCCAGTTTACCTCTTAATAAACTTATAATGGGTTTTTTCATTATAATTACAAAGTATACATATATATATATATATATATATATATATGTATATTGGATATTAAAAGAAACAGCACCTCTCGAAATCAGTGGAAGAGATACTTTTGTCAGCCCGTGGCCATGATAGAAGAAAATATTTGCGATTAAAAAATAAAAGAATACATAATGTAACTTTGTACAAACAAATACGTGAACAGATTATTTCTTCGAAAGATAATAATAATATAAATACATTTTCTAAAGTCTGACATAAATAGGTCGGCAAGATTGATTAGAACGGAATTTCTTTGAATGAGAATGTTGGAAATCCGTACAATTGGAATGCCTCATATTTTAACATGCGTGTGTCTTTTAGATTTGAAAATATTTGGTATTTCTTCGGTTATATTTGTTTTAAATTAATAATAAAAAGATTAATCGTATTGATTAAAGTTTATATTGTCAAATTAATATAATGGTTTTTTATTTGACATCTATTTTTTTATAATAAGATATATATATTTCCATTCAAAACTATACTTTATTTTAACCAAAATATATTTGAAAAATTCATTTGTTTGTGATTACGAGACAATAATATTGTTTTTTTCACACATAAAAAGACTGAGTATGGCTTAATTGAATTATACATTCGCAAAATTACAGATGAAAAAGCAATATTAAAATTGTCTAAAATTGGGAATAAATTTAAGTAATTTTTTTTCATAATTAATTTTCAATTTGGGGAAATTAGTCATCGCAGAAATACTTATATGTATATTTTTATGAAAACGAGATTCAGTCGCTTTGTTACAGTAACAACGACAAAAAGAGACTTAAAAATACTCATTTGCAAAATATAACAATAAAAATGTCCACATTGGATATAATTTAGTATACTTATTCAATTATTAAGCGATTATTAATATGTGCTGTTTTTAATTACACTATTTTAAATTTGTTTACTTTACATATTATTTATTTAGGACACAAATTTCTATAATAACATAGTCGGGTTGTTTGTGTATTTAAGCTTACAACTAACAATAAACATTCATAACAGTATGCATTCAAATATACAATACGAATTGTAAATTTGATAATATGTCATTATGACCCTAAAAACCACGGCTGTAAGTAAATAGTGGATAAGGTTGGTTAAGCTGACTAAACGTATTTGCTTTTTTAGTGGCAACAGAAATATGTATATCATTTGTGAACGCATCAACTGCCTAGATCTTCTTTTCGTGAGTAACAGACAAGTACCAGACGAACAGAGCCACAGAAAAGTCTTTATTTTAAACCTCTAGTCGTAGTATTTACGAAACCGTAAAAGGGCACTGTATTTTATAAAAATATTTTATGATTGCTTTTATGTTACAATATGTAGATATATGTATATGTATTTCTTAAGAAAGAAAATTGTTTAAATCAATTGTTTCAATAGGAACGAAAGACATGCGAACCAAAATACAGAAGAATAACAAAGCTGTCATTACTAAGGAAGAATGTTTAGTCTTTTATAGAATGTAGGAAAACTTTAAAATTCAAAAGATAAATGGTCAATTTTATTTTCTCCATTCTTCTCTAGCGTTTATCATACATATTTATCTTTAATAAGAAATATGATCAATATTTGAACATTAAGAGAATATTCATACCATTCTTGATACTTTTATTTATTTATACTCTTTATTGTACACCAATATAGACAAAAATAATAAGAGAAAAACAAAGAAAGGAAAATGTACAAATACTTTTCTTAAGTATTTCATAGTTTATTTTTTCTGACATTATTAAAATATGAAGGGTAACAATAAATAATACTTTTAACGCATAAATAAAAAGATCAAGGATAGGATGAAGGAAATTAAAGCAGATTCATGCATACAAGCATAGGTTTTCGATTTAAAGAGAATTCGTAATTGTATACAATTACAATTAGACTTTGTAATGTTGGATACCGTCTAAGTTACTCATTTGTTTTTAATAATAAAACCCTTTTTTGGTTCCAAATTATTAGACCTTTTCAAACTATGGCATAACAGTATTAAATTTATATTATTGAATAATATATGGATTGATTGAATATTTTATTTATTACTTATATCTTAATTATTAATTTCAAGTCTTCCTTGGTATTAATTTACACTGACCTAATCAACAGAGTTAATTAATGATGAAACAACGGAAAGAAAAAAATATGAATCTACGAATGAAAACTTGGAAAAATTCGAGGTAAAAGGGGAAAACCTATCACTATTTTCGGCCACTCGGAGTATAATTGAACCTTTTTATGAGGTGGTTGTATCTGTTAAACGAGGTTCAAAGGATAACTAGAGGTAGTTACAGTTTTGTACAATAACGAAGTTTCATGTAAAAATTGTATTTAATTGTAAAAGACTTTAAATTTGGGTCTATAAAATTACCAAATGCGTACCGTGTATGAATACTGTTGTGATCGCTTTTTGAAAAATTTCAATCAATTTGTATGTTGTTTAAAGTCTTTTTTGTTTCTTTATCGTATAGTCCCCGAGATTTTATGTCCCGGATTTAGTTACGTAGTAATTAGATTATAGTATAATAAAATAAATACTTCGATGTAGCAACCAAAGACTTTAAAAGATATTGTAGGATAAAAAGTTGGAATGGTAATTAATACATTTATTTATTGCTTATTCTAGTTTCTAGATATTTTTTGCATCCAACACTCACTAATTTCAAGCGTGGCCTGGAAATGAATAATGTGACTTGGCTTTTATTAACGGAATTTGAAATAAAATATCATGTTTCGGATGTATTAAATTGCATACCCGAAAAATAAAAGTCCACTTATTAATAACTTTATTGACCATCTTAGCGAGGACATGGTATACAGTAATTTATAACTGAAAATACAAGTCTCTAGTAAGCCGCAAGATTTCTATCAAATGTAATTAAATTTAGTCAGCACTATCATGATTTCTCTCCATGAAAATGTTCGTACTACTAAATATGCTAAGTGCTCTCTCTGTCGAATAGGCATTTTTGAATATTTAAAACTTTAAAGGATCCATTGAAATTTAAAAATTGGTGTGGCAAGAAAATATAAATAGGGAAACTTTAGAATTAGCACTTGCATGTTATTTCATTTCTAAATTATGATCACGTAAAATATTAAACAATGATGAATTTACATCCGTGACTTGAAGTAGATCTATACACACATAAATAATAGCCTTATAACATTTATGGCATGGTGGAACGTGGGTTATTTCCAAGTTACAAAATATGCATTCATGCATTCGTACAAAGAAAACAACTGAGAAAGCTCTATAACCAATTGTTTGAAATTTTTTAAGTAAATCGTATTGAAATCAGTTTTACATAGATGTGAATATAGATAAACATTTATAATATATAATATTTAAGCAATAAACATTGATATTAAATCCTTTAATATAAAATGCTATATTATAATACTAAAATATAATAACATTCTGTAAATAAGGACATTAATATAAACATTAAACACATAGTAAGTAAAAACCAAATTAATGTAGACGGAAGTACGTTATAAGATATATGTAAATAAATACTCAAATATTGGGTGATGATTGATTTGTTTGAAAAAAACGCGAGTATTTCAAAATGATTTTTAATTTTATGGTATTAAAGTAATAGCACTTACCCTTGTAAAAAGTAGGGAAAAATAATGTTATGAACATAGTTATTTAACAAACTTTTATATTCAAGCGAACAGAGAATGTTTTTAAAATGGAAATACTATTAAAGTTTGGAGGGTTTGAAATTGCACCGAATTTACCCTCCGGTTAAGGAATGCCTTTGTAGATGTGATTACAAAACTGCTCCGTTTGAGAACATACTTTGTTGTATATCTTTTTTTGTTTAAAAATAGTAATGATGCTACCACTTAATAAATTACGAAACTTATTTTTATAAAGGTGAAGTTGGGGGGATGGTTTCCGAATGGTTTATTAATTTCAATATTTTTGATTGAGTGCCATTACCTTACATGACTAAATATCTTTCTGACTTGAATAGCTTATTTTTCTAAATTTTTTAACAGCCATGTACTTATGAAATAAGTCTATGAATAATCTACATAC